GCTCAGGAGGACCTGGTGTGGGACTAATCAGGCTAAGCTACGTTGGTCCACACCTGCTCCTGGCCAGTTTTAGGCTTACTTTCAGTGGTTTGTCCTCCAAACCTATGAACAAGCTATATTTATTACTACTTTATACTTTATATTTATTATTATTTATAAGTACTAACCCCCCAAAATAGGCCACGCAATAACTAAACACTTGACACACTGAGCAGGAAAGTGCCATGAAGAAAGCACAGAAACACAGGCCACACTGCTAATGACACAATGAGTGAACACTGAATAAAATTTGCGGCTGATTGAAGAGGAAGTGTGCCCTGATAAAACATACATAGGTTACAGGATGAAATAAGTTGCTAAGTAAGAGTTTGAAATGAACTGGGCTGCACAGATGTCGCTACACAAGCCACCAGTGTGTACCAGGAACAGGAAGTGACACAGTATTCCAGTGAGAGCCAATACCAAGCTCTTTGCAGTGTAACAGGGTTTCATGTCAGAAGCTTTTAACAAATTAAAAGCAAAATAAATTTCTCTAAGCATGCATTCATTCCTCTACAGGCAGAATTGATGAAGAGAAACGAGAACATGAGAAACGCCAACAAGAGGAACGACGCAGGAAAGAAGAAGAAGAGAAAAGGCGTCAGGCAGAGCTTGAGCGACAGAGAAAGATCCAAGAGCAGATGGAGAATGAAACATTAAGAAAAAAGCTCTCTGAAGCACACAACAGGCTTCAGGAGGAGGAAAACCTCAAAACCTGGGAGCACCGTCAGCAGCACTCTCACGTTCTACACCAGCTCTTGGAAGATGAAGCACATCACATAGAGAGAGATGAGGTAGGGTCCGGCCTCAGGTAATAACAGCTACGGGCATCTGGGAAAGGATAGCAAGGAGGCTCTGGGTCCTTTTAAATGTCTAACATTTAAGTCATCGTAACCCTAACTATGTCCCAGCCCTGTACTCTGGAAGATAACAAATTTCTCTTTTTTGAAAAAAAACCAAACAATAATGGATTGGATTTACATAGCGCTTTTTCAAGGCACCCAAAGCGCTTTACAATCCCACTATTCATTCACTGTCACATTCACACACTGGTGGAGGCAAGCTACGGTTGTAGCCACAGCTGCCCTGGGGCAGACTGTAAACAGTTCAGATCAGTATAATATTATATTAGTATAACATTAATAATTAGCATAATATTTTGTTATATAGGTCTCCTTTTAACCAGGCAAATTAAAAAATCAATTGCTACTCCTGAAGGTCCTCATAGCAGAACATCATCACAGTTCTGAACAGATGTTTGTTGTCCTTACTGCCAGATACCCAAAACATCCATAATAATTCAACATTATGGTCAGGTGAGGATGACATCATCTGACCCTGCATACAGTTTCCTGCTGCTGACACTGTTACGCTCGTGTCTTTGTTCCTCTTTAATACAGGTCGCTGATGTTAATGAGAAGTTTGAAAAACTTCTATCAAAGTATGACATCAGAGAGGATGAACATTTACAGATCCAGCTGGAAGACAGGATGAAGACTCTCCAAAATAAGCTGACATTACAATATTTTAATGAGCACCCCCACTTCGTCCCCACTTCATTACTGTGGGCTTTGGATCAGACTACTGGATATGTGCTGCTGTCTTTGACTGAGAGGTTCAACATCCTGGAGGCAGTGCTGAAGGTGACCTTAGAGGGTGACCCTGATTTTGAAGATCTCCTCCAAAATGGACAAGACAAGAAGACAGAGTTCCTCCTCAGTTTGCAGGAACAGCTACATGCTGACAA